TCTCTCTCTCTCTCTCTCTCTCTCTCTCTCTCTCTCTCTCTCTCTCAGTCTAGTACTAACCTGTGAAGGTGGCACCTTGTTGCAGGTACATCGAAGATGAAGCTGGAGCTATAGCGCCACAGGTAAGTCTCCCTGGCCTCCCCCAACCATCTCTCTCTCTCCACTATTACTCTAGCTCCTGATAACACCCAGCGCTGAAGGCTACTGCTAACGCTACTACTACTACTGCAGTGCTCCTCCAGAGTTCTGTTGCCGAATCCTGAAGACTGCCTCTTGCCTCCTGCACATGAAGTGCCTGGGAAGTTCCAATGAACTACCTCATGACTGTCTGCAGCCTATAGGGCGGGCCAGTCTTATATAGTGCTGGCCCGTCCAAGAGGCTGCTCTTGCCAATGCCAAAACGTGTCAGACCCTGGCGTTGAAGTTCAACCAAGGGTTGTCTTGAAAACAGGCCAAAAATAGCATGTGCTAAAACCCTGGTCTGGTGCCTAAGGTTCATGGCAGGTCGATCTTATGAGGGCCTGAAAATGGCCCTCCGTTTTAGGCTAAAAAGACTCAGCGCCTGGAAGGCCCTGTTTTAGGCTGAAACGACATAGGGCCTGCAGGCCCTCGTTTTTAGGTTTTCAGGCTGAAACGACACAGGGCCTGTAAGCCCTTGTTTTCAGGTTTTTGGGCTGAAAACACTGGTCGGGCCCTGCAGGTCCATGTGGCTGCGCAGTATGCCACACACCCCCCTCCTTGAAAGACCGAGCTTACCTGCGAGGGCGAAGCTGTCTGTCTGAGGGAGGGACCACAGTCCGGGTGGGAAGGGCAGGTCGTGAAGTTCCCTGAGCTAACCTTTGTCGCTCGTAGTGAGCGTAGATCAGTGGTGTGGATGCTTTCAAATCTCCTCCTGCAATCCATCGACTGTCGTCGGGATCGCATGCTTTGAATGTAACTTTGTATTGTCGAGGCTTGCTGCCGTACTTGCGATCCGTGATGACGCGGTCAACTTCCTGATGACCATCCATAGATGGAGGATCTTGCGATCGTCGGCCCAGGAAGTCGTCGCTCTTAGCTGGTGTATTTGTCGCCAGCTTCGAGGCGTGAAAGACTGGATGGACCGTCAGATGCATGGGAATGTTGATCGCAAATGAGGGGCCATCGGGCTCATCGCCCGCGGCTGATGTTACGGGTCATGGTCCAAACCACTTGGGGAGTAGTTTGCGCGAAACATCTTGCTCGAGTGCAAACTCTTCCGCGGAGACCCACACCAGATCACCGGCGCGGATGGGACATGGCACTCGATGCCTGTTGGCTTGCTGCTGCATGCAGACTTGAGCCTTTTGCATGTTCGCGCGAGCTTGAGCCAACAATTCCCTGTACTTCCGAACGGAAGCGGGGGAGCAAGCAGCGTCTATGTCGGTTGTTCGTGGGAGGAGAAGATAAGCGAAGATACGGCCTTTCCAGCCACCGTGGTGCAACTCGAATGGAGTCACACCGATCACCGGGTGCAACGAGGTGTTCTAGGCGAACTCAATGTCGGGGACGTAGTCAACCCAATGTTTCTAATCCGGACGGATGCGCGTACGAAGCATCATTTGAGTGGTTTGATGTGCCCACTCCGTTTGCTCGTCCGTTTATGGATGCCGAGCCGAACTTGGTTTCATCTTCGTGCCGGATTCCTCCATGAGAGAAGTCCAAAATGCCGACATGAAGCGAGTGTCGCAGTCGCTGACGATGTCTTCCGGTACGTCGTGGCTGCAAATCCAACCAGTGTGTAAGAGGCGCGCAAGTTCGGAGTCGTGGAGTAGTACTTGCAAGGGAGAAACCGGCGTACTTACTCAAACAGTCAACGACCGTGAGGATGCCGTCGTGCCCGAGGCGGTCAAGGGGAAACAGTCTGGTGACGTCGATGGAGATGGAGAGGCCGGGTTCCCGTGGGATAGGCATCAGGGGCAACTCACCGTAGGGATCGCGGTTGCAGGGCTTGCTTCGTCGACAAACTTCGCAAGAGTCGCAATACCGAGTGACATCAGTAATGAGGTCGGACCATCAAAATCGTTGCCGAAGTCGTGCAATAGTGCGATTGACTCCGAAATGGCCGGCAAGTCGCGAGTCATGGTACTCGCCGAGAAGGCGAGTCCGAAGACGACGGTCTCGTGGGACACATAATAAGTCATTGCCTCGCGAGTGGAGGAGCAAGTACCCGTCGACGATGCGATAGTGGATGGCCGACGGGTGATCCGAAGATAGCTGCATGCGCATACACCGTGACGAAATCCGGATCGGACTCATAGCCCCGGATGAAGTATTGCTGGAGTTCCTCGTCGAACGTGAAGGCATGATGTGTCATAGCGCAAAGATCGGGTCTTCGTGAGAGTGCATCTACTGCGCGATTGGAGAGGCCGACGAGATGTTTCGGTGTGAAGTCAAATTGGTCGATGAAGTACATCCATCGTCCGATCGTGTTGTTCACCGTATCCTGCGTCTTGTAGTAGGTCAATGGGTTGTTGTATGTGACCCATGTAAACCTACGACACCCAAGGAGGAAGTGTCGCCATCGCTTGAGAGCCATCACGAACGCGAGCAGCTCCTTCTTCCTTGCATCATCAAGTGAATTGATGGGAGACACTTTGTGGCTGAAATACTCCACGGGGTGCGTAGATGCTAAGGACGGGTGCCATGAGCATGGCCGTCTTGAGTGCTCGGAATGATCGGCGTGCGTCATCATCGAATACGAATGACAACTTTGGCGATTGCGATCTCGTCATAGGTGCGGCAATCCTTGAGTACCCGGTGATGAAGTGTTGATAGTAGCCCGCCAACCCCATGAATGAGCGAATGTCCGTGGTGTTGGTGGGCTCGGGCCATACACGGATGGCCTCGATCTTGTCCGCAAGCGGACGGATGCCTTGCGGTGTCACATAATGTCCCAAGTATTGCAGCTCTTGCCGCATGAATTCGCATTTGTCGCGGTTGGCTTTGTACTTGGCTTGTCGTAGCCGCTCCAAAACGGTGCGTAGGTGCTCCACATGCTCGTCCAAAATCCGGTTGTACACCAAGATGTCATCGAGGTAGATGAGTACGAATCTATCCAGCATGTGTCGGAACTCCGTTGTCATAGCCGCTTGGAATGTGGCTGGGGCATTCATAAGGCCAAAAGGCATAACCAGCCATTCGAAATGCCCATGTCGTGTCTTAAACGCGGTCTTGTAGCGGTCCTCCTGTCGGATCTCGAGTTGGTGATATCCCGATTTGAGGTCAAGCTTGGAGAAGAACTTGGCGCCGCCCAACCGTTCGAGGAGGTCGTCGATGCGCGGAAGAGGGCCGACGTTCTTGACGGTTTGCACATTGAGCTTGCAATAATCGATGCACAACCGCAAATCCTTGTTCTTCTTCCAAACGAAGAGAATGGGAGCACCGTATGGCAAAGAGCTAGGTCGAATCCAGCCTTTCTCGAGAAGGTCGTCGAATTGTGCTTGTAGCACACTTAACTTTTCCTCACTCATGCGGTAGATGCAACCATGCGGAGGTACGGCCCCGGCCACGAGGATGATCTCGTGGCGGATGGGCCGATCCGGTACTACTTCGTGCGGGGCTTCGAACACGTCGCCGCAGGCGTCGAGAAGCTTGGTGATGCGTGGGTCCGGTGACGAGTCCATCGATGGAATGTCATGGGTTGGGAGGGCGTGGAGAAAACACACCCGCATCTCCTCGATGTCATCCCTGATGATGGAAGCTCGAATGCTTGCGGCGGACACCACGTGGTAGCTGATCGAAGGGTGAGGAGGAGGCACCGTGCATGGGACTAGTACTCCGTTCCAATCACGAACGTGGATGGTGCGAATGGCAGTGGGCCCCTACGCGAAAATCCAGGTCAGGCGAGAATTTAAAATTGCACACTTTAACAGTGAAGGCCACATAGTGTCTGCTACAACCAAAGGTGGACATAAAAGGAACGATGAAGGCTCGATGGAGGTCTCATTGGAATGTAGGGATCGAGGCAATCCACCCTATTCGATGGTTCATCGCCACAAGGTCTAGGTCAGCGAAGATGGCCTCACTACATTGGTAAATACAACATCGATGCTTGCCCACCAACGACTGTATGATAGATCGTACATATCTAGAGCAGAAGGGGCCAGTGTTACCGTGGTGTAAATCCTGCTACACTTTTTCCCCCCACCGTAAAATTTTGGGAACCATAGAGCACATATTGATGCAGTGTCCAGGGGCAGTTTTTACATGGCGATGGTGGGATAGGATATGGACCCTCCTGGGCACTAAGTCCAACTGGCCATGGGATTGGAAGGCCATATTATGTGAGGCATGGTCCTCCCTCACTAACAAGGCTTTTGAAAACACCATGTTAGTTTTAGGAAGGGGAGCGATCATGTGGACCCTCTGGAGGAAACGTTGTATACATGCTATTGAGGGTGTTCGCATGCCAGGGGAAAAGGCAACGGACATGATAAGGCAATATATTCAACAAGAACTCATGGGACACTAGCAAAAAGTTAAAAACCAACTCGATTTATTTCATTCAGCACAGGACATAACACAAGCAATTCACCAATTTTCAGGAGACTGGTTGGGCAGTGAGAACGGGGGCTGGATAGCATCTGTCAGATGGGAAGGCAAGCCCCCTCAGGAATGTAACCAGGAGGAATTCAAGAGAGACTACCGTATCTGCTTCAAGGAACCGGACTACGGTGGGCCAGGAGCTACCATCCACAAAATTTCCCGACCCCTTTCGCCCCACCAGTTGGCAATGGTGGATATGCAATTGCGAGGATCTGGGTCCTCGACAGGCCTATGGGGCCCTGTTTGTTGCATTACCCGCCCTAAGTGAAGGCGGAGGTGCCCGCCCTAAGTGAAGGCGGGCCTGGCTTTTTGCAAGAGGCCATCGACTGTCAATTTCATATTTGGGGTCCAGGCAGTTGCGACGCGCCAGTTGGTTGAGAGAAACACAGGCCTAGCAACAAAGACATTTCCCTGGCCCTCCGGGCTTTTCCAAAGAATGCAGGCCCTAGGCGTGATTTGCAGCTTCATACAGAGACAGTTGGGCGCCCAACCGAACGAGGCTCAGCAGCCCAGTAGCTGTTGAACACAGACAGCCTCCTGGGGCCTTCCAGAAGCTTCTGGGCCCAGGCCAGTGCAGCCAGGCTGCGCGAGTAGGCCGAAGTTGCCTCTACCAAGAAAATTCGGGAACGCCCAACTCTTTCCATAAAGGAAAGAGCTCACTCCAGGCAGCCTCATTCAGGATCTCGCATGCTGGCGGCAGCGCTGCTGGAGCAAAGGCTCGCGGCTGCTGACTGGCGCTGAGAGGCGAGGTGCAGCACGTGCGGTCGTGCAGGGAAGAAGGGCGCTGCTGAGGGCAACGCCATAGCCCAGCCACCATAGCTGGTGGGCTTGGACTACAGTGAGGCGCAGGGGTGGTCTTCGGGTGAAACAGAGGACAGACGTGGGTGTAGTCATGGGATAGGTGAAGGATGATGATGATGATGATGATGATGTGAGGGCACACACCTTGTATTGGCGATGGTCTACATGGGCGACATCTTCAAGTACTTCGGGCTGCCGCTGATGTTAACAGTTGCATTGTCATTTTGTAGTCTGTAGTAACTATGTAGGAGTAGGCTGGGCGCTAAGCGCCAAGTGAGAGTGTGAAGGGACTGGACTTTTGTCTTGAGAGGAGAGAGTATGCTCTCCATGAACATTGGTTTTCAGTGCTACGAACCTCCATTGGTGTATTATTGGTGCAATGCTGCTCTCTAGACACGNGCTCTCCATGAACATTGGTTTTCAGTGCTACGAACCTCCATTGGTGTATTATTGGTGCAATGCTGCTCTCTAGACACGGTGTGACTATCTTGCTTTCAATGTGATGGTGTGATATGGAATTGCCATCTCGCTATTGCTTATTTTCCTTGCAATTTGGTATCGAAGTTGGATCATATTGCACTTCATTGGTTCTTCGCAATAGCTATTGGTGCTTCGCATGAGGTGTGGGGCAGTGACAAGGCATTGACGTTGAACATTAGGCGGCCCAGGGTAGTGTGGGCGCACCAGGGAGCTTTGTGGTGACATACGGGGTGTATGCTGGATGATGAGAACTCGTTGATGTGGCATATTAAGCCGAGGTGGAACCGCATTCTGCTGTTGGTTGTCCTGAGGCAAAGACCGGTCATCAAAATTCCACATCAGGTTACCGGTGAGAAATATGTGGCTGGCGGCAGCATTTATGAGGTGTGTTGCTCTCTTCCTTATCTACTTCATCTCTTCTTACCGTGAGGAAGTGAGTTTTGTCTTGAGAGTCATCTCGATGTGAGGTGTCGGGAGCGCTCAACCTTGAGAGTCGACATTCTTCCTGGGCAGCAAGCTGGTGGGAGACGGGCAAAGCCTCTGAAGGGCCCTGGACGAAGCACTCGGGTCATGGTCACCATGCCAACCCGCTGGGACTAGTACACGCATGCTTTGTCGCAAGTCCTTGGTTCTGTTGCTTGCGCAATAGAGGTCATGCAGGGCATGCCAACCCTTTGGGACAGACGCTTTCCAAACCGTTTTTAAACATTTCTGGCTCGGGACTCGGATTTGAATCTGATTGTGATCGTTGTCCTGTCCGCGACGTTGAATAATTCCTGAGGAGATGGGGGCTCTCCTTAAATCCCTCCTGATCAGCCAGATCAACCGGGTGTAAGGCTCGTTGCATGCGAGGGTAAATAAAGTGCAGGGGCTGGCATGTTCGACGTTGACTTGGGGCACAGGGGTGGGCCGGATTGCACACCTTCAGACACGCTGCTCAACCAGATGCTCAGGACCTTGACACAAAGTGACCACTCAACAACGATACAGGGGGAGGGGGGATTCCAGTAACTGTTCGCGGTGGCAATCAACAAACAGTTTGCCATCAAGCATACATCTCCAACAGGAGATGTTATTTTTATTTTTTGATTATCTAGTTGTTACAGACTTGACTAACAACTGACAGACAGCTACAGACAGACTAGATCTTTGTTGTATTGCAATTTGTTCTAGGGTAATCTAAAAATAAATTTAATATATCCTGTAGGACGTGACATTAGTTGTTACTATATCACCTAACTGTTTCTGTTCCATCCGACCGAAATTAGTTGTGATTCATAATCGGTTGTGTGTCAGGCTAAGGGAGGATTCAGTGTGGATTCTAGTTTAGATCACACACATTGTAGCTCATGAGTGATGCAAGCACAAGTGAGGAGAAGTCGTTAGTGGACGACCGTAGGACTACTCGTGGGACTACTCGCAGTCGACCCTTGACATTCTAAGAGTTAGGTCCAGGAGACGAGAGGAGATTGCGGAGAGAGGCTAGAGAGAGAGCAACAGCAAGGAGAGTGAGGGTGGCTGAGGATTGTGCCAGGACTAGAACTATAGCTAGTACCGGTACAACCACGGCCACTTCATCTACCATGTCGCAAACCTCTTCACAGTCCATTTCGTCAGGAGTAAGCCAGAGTGGTTCTCAGGGGTCCATTAGCCAAATTGTTGGCTTGCGAGTCAGCCAACAGACTCAACTCACGCCGGAGGATTATGAAATCCTCCAAGCAGAAGAACTTCAGGATGAGCTACAGCGGCAGTTGGACGAGGCAGCAGAGAGGAGAAGAAAAGCAATCCTACGGAAAGCTAGACTAGGTAGTAGAAGAGAGGAGCTAGGCAGACTGGAAGGACTAGATGAGGCAGCATTAGACCCTGTTATTCGTGTGCTGCCTAATGCTTTACTTTCAGTGGCTGAAGCGCAGAACGTCCGGCACGAATTGCTGGCCGAATTGGTGGCAGGCCAAAAACAAATCTTGGTTGAACTTCGGGCTCCTCGCACAGCAGTGAGGCAGCCGCAGTTTGCTGTAGTTCCCCCTGCGGGTGCGGGTCCTTTATCGATGCCGCAACCCACAGGGTCAACTTTCTCTCCTTTGTTTGGCATACCCCCTCCAGGTGGCTTAGTAGCGACTAGTGGTCCGGTTCATAGAGTCTCAGCCGTACCATCGACAACAGTGGTAACTACAGTCCCACTGTCAAGCCAGGCCCAGGTTAGTGTGCAACAGCCTGTTTCAGTGGCTATGCAGCTGCTGCAGCAGGCCCCTGGGCCCATGCAGCCCATGCAGCCTATGTAATGGATGCCCAAGATACCCTTGATGAGTCCTAAGCCCTTCTCTGGCGACAGGAAGAAGGATGAGGACTTAGACATCTGGGTGAGGACTGTGCCTACTTACGTGAGGCACAAGCTCACCAGGCTAGAGCAAGAAGTTGTTGTGGCTGCCTCCTTTCTAGAGGGGTCAGCAGCCCGCTGGTTGAATGGCCTAGTGCAGCAACAGGGCTACGGTCAGGATTTCGATGTCTGGGCCCAGGCCCAAACATTGGAACAGTTTGTACGGTCCGTCTACAACAGGTGGCATGACCCGCAAGGGGCTCAAAAGGCCACCGATGCTATCAACAGTTTTTGTGCCAGAAGGTACAAAAATGTTAGCGAGCTGACAGACATCGTAGAACGCTTACTCGTGGTACCTGGTGTGCGTTTTGACCAGCAGGTTCTCCTGACGGATTACCT